GAGGGCCCGGGCCGATCCGCCACCCTGGTGACCGCCAGGCTCTCCTCTCCTCTGGAGCTGCTTTCCCTTTCCCTACCATTCCCGACAGAGAGGCCAGGCGTGATGTCCTTCAAGAGCTCCGTTTTCCGTGCTGCTGGAAAACTGTAATTCCGATTTACAATACATGCATACAAGACTTGGGCAACAGTCACGTTATTCCTTTCATCTCACTTTATCTTTCTCTGTAACTACCTCATGTTATTGTGGCAGCTGTAACAGTCATGAACAAGCTGCTCCATTGGATTAGGAAGTGGCACGTGACAGTTCTGCTTAGTGCTCTGTGCCCCCATGTTTTTTTTTTAAATCAGGTTTGTGGTGTAAGAGAGGATTTACCATTTCATGCAAATTTTCCTGTAAAACCTCACGGTTAGGTTTTGTGAGAACATGGAAGGTCCAGACAAGATGGAGGCTCTTATCTGAACTACATTCCCCAGAAGGCAATGGGAAACGATCCGTCATCCTCAGTCACCTGACCAACTGGTGGAAGACAACTCGTCAGTTAATACTAATAATTCCTTACACTTATATAGCGTGTTTCTGTACACTCCCCTCAAAGTGCTTTACAGTTAACAGGGTTGACATTTAAATCCAGGAGGCTGAGGCTAGAAGGCCTGCAGGCTCTCTGTCATGTGTTAATCCCAGAGGGATAAGGGAGCAGAGAAAGCAACACAAGACATGGAAGCAAAAATGTACGTTTTTTTCCCCGACAGACTTGCAATAAGGGACTGCTGAAGTTACCGGACTGCCAGCTAGAGCTCAAAAGAAGAGCTAGGCTTTTATTTTGTTGTTGTTGAAGGGGAATGTTTTCACATGTAAGAACCCTGGGGCACACTACCAGAAACAGGGATCGCTCACGGTTTGAGAGAGTCCTTCCAGGTAAACCCATATAGCCATAACTGAATTCATATCAGCACTCTGAGGTGTGCAAGTACTTTCCTGAATGCCCTCTTTCTTTGCTGGAAATTGCTGTCGTGGCACACTGGATACAATTAATTTATAAAAGACAATAACTGTTTCTGCAATACTATACACACACACACACACCTCACAGAATATCACATGTAATTTATTGGCACAAGGTCAAAAATCACACAAATCAGGGATGTATCACTTTAGATAAAAATGAGTTTACAAAGTTCAAACAATAAGGCATTAACGTAAATTGCAATGTTGCATGTAGTGACAGCAGTACAAGTAGGAAGGCAAATTTTCTGTACTAATTAATGCTATGACATTAGAATGCCCTTCTGGTACTGTCTTGACAAGTATTATGCAGGCATTGTATAGGTTTTTTAATGAAATATTTTCATCATGGGAAATGTGAGAAACGGAAAAGAATATCTCAAGTTTTTTAGTTTTTTTAGTTCTTCTTCTAGAAAAAATGGAAATAGCTCACAACAAACCCACGCAGATGCAAAAATCTTTTTAAAAAGTAATTTGTTCATCAAGAATTGATAGTATGAAACTGTACCCATTTATCAAGTAGTCTTTATCAAATAGAAATCGTGATTTTTTCCCCAAATAAGACAACTACTGTAAGTTCAAACCTTTTGTATAAAAATCAATGTGCTACATAGTTCATTTTATAAAAAGCTTTTGCTGCCTTTCAACTGTAGGAGCCAGGTGGGACTGGGGTGTGTTCACAGTGGATCGGTACCAAAGTGGTTCTGGCTACAGCAATTCTCTCAAGTGCCAGGGGCTGCCAGCTCCCTCCTTCCCTGATCCTGTGCCCAGCTGGAGAAAGCTGGAATGTCCCCAGCGTCTCGGGCTCAGGAAGCTCAGAACCTGCCACGCAAACTGGACCGAAACGAAAAACAGCCCCAACATGCCCGCCAATCAACACATAGCGCACTCTGACCCACAGGGGCTTGAGGGGGGGCTCATGGCTGGGAAGGGAAATGGAAGGAAGCCACAGCGGCCTGCTGTGCATCGGACCCCCGAGGCCAGCGTGCTCCAGAGCCTGTGAGCAGGTGGACTGTCCACTGCTGTAATACATGTGCCCGCTGGACCTCTTCGCACTGCGGGGGAAAGGCTCAAAGAGATACCCCTAGATGGGCTCCTCTCATCGGCAGCTGTTCTTATGTTCTTAAGCAGAAGGACAGAATATTGTTCATTGCACCGTTTCCCTCGGGACAAGGAGCCATTCAAGGGGAAGAAAGGATTAATGCTGAAGGAAAAAAAACTGGATCATTCCCTTTAAACAGGAGCACAATGTTATTGCTTTTGACTTCAAATGATATTTTGAGCTCTTCTGAATTGCACTCTTATATAGCACTCGCAGGTGCTAAGTGAAACAACTACAGGCACCCACCGCGAGGACTAGAAAATTCATAACTGCTCTGAGTAAATATGCAGTACCTTCCCTGACAGTCTGGGGGCAGTGTTTTTTTGTTAAGGTTTTTTTGGTTCGCAAGCTACTCTTGCCCAGTGCAGATCTGGCAGTCTGTGCGAGATCTGGATAGGCAGCCGACCACTGTAAGACCGCTAGTTTGAAGAAATGACAAGGGTCATTTCCCTTCTTTGACTTTTTGTTACAGATTCTGGGTACAAAGGCCATATTGAGGTGGCAAAGAACGGTAACTCTCTTGTATCGCCTACGCACTATTTACTTACTCATTGCTGACATCTGTAAGACAGTGCCTAGTTCTTGCATAATGCTCTTTGTTGGCAGGCTGTGCCAGTTCATATCAGCACCATGTGTGTGTGGCCCACACGGCCCGCACAAGAGCACCCTGGCGTTAGTGTTCAGAAGCCCAGCTCACTCCACCTTCTTCAGAACGTAAAGGATCCCGATGTTGTCGATGGTCACGAAGGTCCTGAAGTCCGGAGACACGTGGATTCCCTTCAGGTTGGTCCCCGTGGTGTAGAAGGTCTGGAGCGCTCTGCCGGTCTTCACGTCCCACCACTGATAAAGACACAGAAAAGGACGGGCCGCCTGTCAGTTTCAACAGGCTGAAACGCCAGTGTTTCATTCATTCCACCGAGTCAGTGTCTCTGGGTTTTCTTCACCAGCCAAAAAGAAAATCAGGGACTCCTGAATAATTGCAGTGTAATTAAAAATGCATTTTTATTTTTAATATTTAATTCCTCCTGCCACACTCATAGGCTACATATTAAAGTAATTCTAGCGTGAAAGATGAACACAGACATAATTTACTGACGCAGGTTAACAAATTCCCTCATAATCCACTTTGTTAAAATGGAAAAAAAAATACGATCAATTGCATCAAACTTAATATTTAATATCTCTAGGAGATGGAAATTATCTTAACAATAATCAGTGACAAGATTACTACATTCTTAGATGATTGTTAATCACAGTAATGCAAATTGATTATGATTATACATTCAAGCGCAGTCTTTTCCCTTTGCTTTATTAAGCCGATTTTCATGCTGGGTGGATACATACGACAAGACATCATCTTTGAATAACTGAGGCTCAGGAGTTTTAAAAACCAATGATTCAGAGACTGATCCTCCACCCCGCAACACACACAGCAGCTCATTTGTAATGCACTGCACTCGCCAAAATAGCAATGATGCACTGAAAAGGTGCAAGATTGGAAACACTCTGCTATGGAGCCCTTTATCACAGAGCGCTGTGCAGATGAGGACTGCAGGTAACCTGCAACAGTGGACCTTGTGGACACAGCGGAGAGGGAAGGAAAAACCCCGAGTAGGAGTGAAGAAGCTTCTGGGGGGCCCAGGTCCCAGTAGGGCCCACCTTCTCTGCAGGCAATGGGTTATTGGAACATTAATTGTAATGGATGACGGGCGATGTCTGCAAAGATCAGGGCTGGGATCCTGGTGTCCTGGGTCAGTCCTTGGGGTTATCAGAGTGAAGCAGCAGGGAGTCCTGGTTCTACCATTCTGAACTGGCATCATCAGATGTTCCTCAGATTTAAGCGACATTGCGCATTGTATAGGATGATTTGCTATGCATGTAAACAAGAACTTTCAGATGTTTCAGGAATCTTAAGGGATTTCATTTAGAGACGGACCAGCTCTGCTAATTTCTATGGCAAAGAAAATGTTTACCAGTGAATTAAATTACCTTTACAAGTGCTCTTGAAGGAAGTTATTTGTAATGAAACCACCAATACAAGCCATGTTGTTATAGTCGATACCCTGGCTTCTTTCAGAAAATTCTGTATGTCACCCTTGGAGCAATTAACTACTAACTACCAAAGAGGCTAGATGGGCTGTATGACCTCCTTTGTCTGTAACTGTTCTTACTGTACATTCTAATAATAATAATAATAATAATAATAATAATAATATTTATTTACCCTATTAATGGATTTAAATAAGCATGAATAATTTCTGAACAACTCATTAACTGGGAACTGAAAATCTCTACTATTGTATAATATACTATTATAATGTATAATACTTTGGTGAAAACAAGTGACATTTTCAGCCATATTCACTGATCTAACAGCGCTGCATTTGGTGCAGCAGGCAAGCGTGGAAAAGACTTCTCTCTAGTTCAGGGGCTGCATGCTAAGCTCTCATCACACACAGCTTTCTGACACTCTGGAAGGATAAGAATACGGATCAGCCACTTACATTTCACAGAAGTGCCAGAATTATTCACTAATCCAGCTGTCTCTTGAGGCTCAGGAAGAAGAAAGCTTAGCTGTGGAACTCCAGCGCATGCCTCTGCTTAAAAAGGAGGACATGTTGCTACTTTTCTCACACTCAGGAAGAACAGATGCTTCTGACCAAGGGTTCTTTCCATTTTCCTTCTTCTAGGGATTCATGAATCACAGAACTCTTCATTCTAAAAAGATGTGCCTCATTTGCATTCGCTGGCAAACATCCTCACTTTTTTCAGCTCATGACTCCATAAAGATAGCATCCTGGTGCCTGAACGAATTTACTGGCCCGAGTTGGTTTTTTTTTTTAAAAAAAGCACAGCTCCAGTACAGGCTGTGGCATGTGACTGCTGTGCTCTCTCTCACAGCCACTTCGATCACGCCGGCAGGATCACAGCTGTACGATATCACACAGTCATCAATATCTCTTGGAGGTGGCTAATGAGTTCAACAGAGACAGCGCTCAAGTCTGAAGGAGGGACCCTGCCGCCCTCACGACGCTCACAGCGCAGCGCTCGCATAACTCCCCGAGAACCGCAGCTGTGCGATGTGTGGAGTGAGACAGAGGGATAAACAACAACCACTCTGAACACTGGCAGCTACATGCTTTGTCATCGTCCATGTATAGAGGCCAGCATTTAAATAAAGGTATATGCAATTAATTTGGTCTGATTTTCAAGATTATCCTGTCTCCGCTAATGTGTATCAAATTTAGAATTAACATCACTTTATTAACCCTTTACAATTTCTTGCACTAGGAATTATCTTTTCGCATACCCCAGCTTGCTCTCCATGAGACACACAGACAGGGAGAGAAGCTTGGGGTCAGAGCGCAGGGTCAGCTATTGTACAGCGCCCCTGGAGCAGTTGGGGTGAAGGGCCTTGCTCAGGGGCCCAACGGAGTAGGATTCCTCTGCCGGCTGTGGGATTTGAACCGGCAACCTTCCAGCCACGGGCGCAGATCCTGAGCCACAGGGGCACCGCTCTGCCCACCAATAAAGTAGAAAGTACACCAATAAAGAATAAAGAATAAAGTATAGAGAAATATTACCATGAAAGAATTCTTGCAAGGCGATCATGTTTCTGATCACCCAGTCCCTGGACCACTGGTCTCTGCCCTATACCTCAGTAACGGTACAGAATGAATTTCTTTCCAGCACATTTTAGCCTAGGCGGACCTGAAAGGAGGAAGTTTCTTGGGAGATCGTTCCTTGCACAAAGAAGACTGAGAAACACCGATCTACAACCAATCCCACACACGCACCTCTTTACTTTTTTTCTCCCAGAAGAGATGCATTTTAAATTCGGTCATGAGAGTGTTTTTTTCTGCATCACAAATGACCTTGACTGTTTCGTGTACCTGAACTTATCTAATTAAAACAAATGAGGCAGAGTACTGTTTTAAAGTAAAGGGGCCGATGTGTTTTACTTCTAAAGAGCAAAGTGATGCAAGCTTTTATGTTTTATAAGCTAAATGTAACTCACGCAAAACAGGGCTATTATTGCCTTTGCATCTAGGTCGAAAGATCAATCAGTTTTTAGATATACCACTCTCATACATTATACATTACTAGCTGCTTGAAGCAGCAAAGCTGCCTTTAAAGTCTGGATCTGAGGTCACACTGCATGAAGTCAAAGGGAATCAAGTCACAGCAATGACAGGCAGCCGTAGATGGATAAAGGACAGATTTCAGCCATCAGAACACGACCCTTTTCTGGAGCTTCTAACACACTGGAACAGCAGCGTCTACACAGATCTGGCCCGACTTCGAAAAACGCACACATTTACAAAGCCAGGACATGACACATGGTGACCTGCACCTCCTGAACAGGTGCAAACGCTGGTTTCGTGTTTGTCTTTCATTTGTTAGCTTACAAACCATTTCGGATGCACACTTCAGAAACAGACTCCCAGCACAGTGCCAACAGCGCCTTATCCTCAGCCGAGCAGGTCCCGTGTCTGCCACTGTCATGAGCCACGATTGGAGTCATCATTTAACCAACACACAAGGTGAAAGCAAGCAGTACCCTCCAGAACAGGGTTTCCAAAGTGTCTATGTACACGGCAGGGTCAAACTATAAATGGTAACACCTAGGAAGTGTCGAGTACACGGTCTGAAGAAAATGTAAGCAAATCAATGAACAATTACAATTTTTTAAATAACTGGTTCTGCCAATAATACACAAAACTAGTTGCAACCCCTGGGTGACCTGAGATTTTTCTGTGTAGCTTATTTTCTCCGTAACTGTTTGTATATCCTCGTTTTCTGCCCTCCCCGGGCTGCAGGAACGCAGGTCGCGTGCTTGCATTTCCAAATCAGCCCTGAGGCGAAGAGTAACACGCAGAAACGGCTGCACGGACGGTGTGGGGAAACACGCCAGCAGTTTCGCTGTGCCTCTTCAAGCACGCTCCAGCTGTGCTGGGGGAGTGAGCAGTCCTAACCAAGCATTCCGTTTATGGGCGGGACAACGAGGCAACATTTTGCAAGCTTTTTTTTTTGTTTGTTTTTTTAAGGGTTCACGGGGCAAGAGAGTCAGATCACAGATTCACTTAGGACCACAGTGGCAAGTCAGGAGGGCAGCCGAGCCCCGAAGACACGAGGACAGGGGGCGCGCTCACACCAGCCCCCTGGATCCTGGTCACATGGGGACAGTGGGTTGAATGTCCACTGGACTCCACAATTAAGGCAGCTGTGGGGGCTCTAGAAAATGTGTTTAATCTCCAAATAAAGAAGATGTACAAAGGAATAAGTAATCCAGCAACATTGTGCTCCTGTACATGATAGGATTTCAACTTTTTTGGGGACGTAGCAGTGCAAAGCAGACCCTTTCGGGTCCCTCTGGGACATAGCAGAGCATGAGACGCATGAGCAAGAGTCATGACTAAGGTGACTAGAACAGTGGTTCTATACCTGGGTCAGTTTAAGCTGTCGGTGGCTCTTTCGATGAAAACAATGAGATGCATTTCAACCCGCTTTGTAAAAAGATCAACTTTTGCTTTCACATTTAGTTTTTAGTCCTCGGAAACGGAACATAATCCTTTCAAGTGTTCTGTCAGGCTGCCATCTGCCAAGTTAACAGAAGGAAGTCTGGAACAGGAAAAAGTTCTGAACTGCAGTATTACTGCAGAAAACAAAAAGCCATCAGAGCATCTAAAAATTGCAACTGCTGGGCAGAAACACTACCATGGACAGACAATTCACAAAAAAGTGAATTGAAATGTACTTGGTGAGGCAAGACCACCTTTAAAACAAAGTGCACAACCACTGCTACATAAAAACCCATTTAAAAAATACTAGCTGGGACT